TAGTCTGTACCCTTTGACATCTTCCCCATATCCCATAAAAACACCTTTTAGGGATCTAGGTTCAAGCTTACCTTCATTTTGGTGTGAGTAAGTAGTGTAGCCAAAAACTTTTAATCTACTATAATCAGGTATTTTTCCAGACCACGAATTTTCAGGGACTTGAAAATCAATGGCACTAGAAGGACTTCTATTAATAAGATAGGTTGTAGTTTTTAGGGCTTCTACCCAAAAAAACTTAGGAAGACCAAAACTGTAAAGCATACATCTCATTTTTTCTAAAAGATATCTATTCATTCTCTCAGCAACTCCATTTTGCTGAGATGTGTAAGTTGTAATTCTATGTCTTAACATTCCAGATTCTTTACAAAATGAATCAAATTCTGAGTTACAAAACTCAAAGCTATTATCAGTCCTTAGTGCTTTGATTTTCTTATTGGTTTGGTTTTCAATCAACAGTTTCCATTGTTTAAANACCATTATCAGTCCTTAGTACTTTGATTATCTTATTTATTAGGTTTTCAATCAACAGTTTCCATTGTTTAAAGATTTTAAAAGTATCAAATTTGTGTTTTAACATAAAGATCCAGATTTTCCTTGAAAAATCATCAACTATAAGTAAATAAAGTCTGAATCCACTTAGAGTATTTATAGATGTTGAACCCCAAAGATCAGTATGTAGATACTCCAAAATAGAAGAAGATTTATGTATTCCAGTTTGAAAAGGTAACCTTTTCTGTTTTCCCAAGATGCAATTTCACAAAAATCTAACTGTTTGATTTTATCTTTACTAAAGCAACCCAGTTTGTTTAAAATGGAAGTCCATTTCAGACATGTGACCTAAGAGACTTATTAGATTCAGAGTTTAAGGCTGCAGTACAGTGATAAATAACAGGATCAGCAGATACAGTGTAGATCCCATTCAGTTTCAGAGAAGATATGACAGTCTTGTTTCCTTGTTTAAGTGTTAAGAGACCTTTATGAATCATTATGTTAAATTTGTCATCCAATTGACCCAAAGAAATCAAATTTCTTTTAAGCACAGGAACATATATGCATTCTTCAAATTCGAGAATATAGTTCTTCATTGACTGCTTGATCTTTCCAATTCCCTTTATTAAACAACTCATGCCATTTCCCATTTGAATTTGTCATTCACTAAGTTCTATAAATTCAGAAAAATATTCTTTATTGGGACACATA